TTTGTGTTCGATGAAAAGCTTTCATGTTTCGCTAAATCCATCCACAAAGCTCACTACTTTCCTGATTCCTGTACATTGAAATATTGATTGTGTTTGTCTCGAGGAGTTTAAAAGCTTCATCTCACATTTATAGTGGTGTAAAGGTGAGAGTAATTGGACAAGTTTAAGGGTATTTGCAGCGAGAGGGGGAAAGTTTCAGTTTTGCATGAAATTTGATGGATTTAACCTTGATTTCAGCTCTTTTGACGCTGAATATAATGTTGTGTTTTATGTCAGTCCTCATTATTGGAATCCCCATTTGGGTCAAGTGTTAAAGTTGAGTAGGCTAGATTTATGTCAGACCTCATTATTGGAATCCCCATTTGTAACTAGGCTAGATTTAAAAGAGGTCGGGTAAACTCCTGGATTCGAGTTGCATAGAAAAAGAAAAGATTGAATCAACTGATGTGCAAGTTTTGTTACTCCTGATAAACATGATATAGTGGACATCTCTAGTGTGCATGTACAGTTTCAAATGATATTCCTTACTGAGTGCAACAGTAGAAAACTGCTATATTTTCCTGCTATATCATGATTAAGTATACGCTCATTTCATGTTCAAGGTTAACCCCACACGTTAATGTAAGTATTTGTAAAACCCCTTGTGAACATTAAACATCTTTCAGTTGGTTTATGATGTTATGCTTTTTGGTGTTTGCTCATATCCATATTCCTGTGATGGGGATTGAAGCCCAAATCTTATGATCCTCTCAAATATTACAATGAGTACAGGTGACGCCGGATGTTCATTTTCAGAAGGATCTGGGGTTGGACAGCTTAGACACGGTGGAGATTGTGATGGCTCTCGAGGAAGAGTTTAAGCTGGAAATCCCCGATAAGGAGGCTGACAAAATTGACTCTTGTCCACTCGCGATAGAATATATCTATAACCATCCGATGTCTAGTTAATATGTTATGCATGACTTTTTCTGTTTCTGGCAGTGTGTCCTGTCTCTGACTTGAAACTTGGATTTTGTAGAGATTTTGTCTCTTGATGATTTTGATAAAAAAGATATCCCTAAACGGGAGTTCAATAATTTTGTACTTGAAAACTGAGTGCATGATGTTTTCTATATTATCATATCGGATGGATAATTTGCTACTCATTATCGACTTGTCAGTTGTTGATATGGCTTAGTTTTTGTTTTTGTGTATTTCGTGGGTACATAATATCATAAAGACTTCAGTTGGGGCTCCCATTCGACGGGAAGACTAGAAGCTGATCTCCTAAACGTGTTCTTAGTAAGATTTCTTATGACTGCAGGTTCTATTAAAGAATGCCGAAGATTGGACATTTCTGCCTCTAGCATACTGCTGTTACATGGCATCATCAACTAGTTAACTTTGTCTTTATATATCAAGCTATTGTATGACTGAGTAGATTAATGTTTACAATAGCATGACTTCTAAAATAGTCTTATAGATTTTTTGTTCTCACCAAACTGTAGATACAGCGTAGCCTTAATTTCCGAATGGGCGAATGTTGAAGACAATAGATTAAGTAGAAGGCAATCACTTGAATGAAATTGCTTATCGAGAAGGTTTTTCAGCACTTTGTTTCTGAGTAGGTGCATAAATAACTTTTAAGTCCACAGAATACATTAAGTTGTGGTGGCGTGTTGTCGGTTTTGTTGTTGATGATGGAGGTGGTGTCCAGGCCTATGAGGGTGGTGCACTGGTTCAGGGGATTTACCTGAATAGAGGCTGTGCAGAAATTGGATTTGGTGCTCGGGTCTTTTTTGTGCATGCGGAGGTTTTGGCGGTCGAGTTACCAGATGTGACTTGGATGATGATCAGGGATGAGAGGAAGGGAAAATGAAAAAGGGCTTCATTATTGTTTTTGACTGATAAGTTGGTTCATTTCAAGAGGTTAAAGTTTGGGTTAACATACCCATCATTGAGCACTTGTTATGTGAAGAAGGGTGATTAGGATTTCTTGCTTATACGCATCATAAGAAACAAAGACAAAAATATATGTTTGCCCGTTAATTCCACCACTACATAATCACATGGCTTTAGCATGGTTTCTTTCTTTCAGACTTACAAGCATGAACTCCATTCGAAGAACTCCATTAAATAACGATAAACACCAGTACGGCTCTATTTGGTGAACAGAGAGGTGATTTTAAACATGCAACTTTTTCTTTCCAAACTAGTTTATCACCAAGGCAAAATATAGCTCTGTGAACTTAAGGTCACAGAATAACAAACAAATGTGAACTGGAAAACGCTAGTAAATATGCATGAACACTATCACACTTACATTCCTCCAAAATTTTCCCCCCAACTTGGTGATATATCATACATCACTACAGTCACAACTCCTTTTCTTACATGTCAGTCATCAATTAATTGCACATTTGGTGTTATGTTTTCTCAATCTCACAAAATCCTCTTCACTGCTGTCCCCAAACATTGCAGCCATCTTCATTGCCAGCTTTGCAGCCATTTCCCTCCTCTGGAAATCGGGCATCAATTTCAGGCCATTGCGCATGTTACCAATCTCCGCCATCAGCTTCTCCAAATTCTCAAAATCATAAGTTTTATCTTCCTCATCCACCTCTGACCTTATTTCAGCTTCGTGGACCAGGTCACAGTCAATCTCTTCTGGAAATTTTGAAACGGATGTTGACAGCTTGTTTTCTTTTCCTATCAATTTAACTTCACTCTCTCTATCTAAGTTTCCTGAGGTCGAAGCAGGACCATCAGCAGAAATCCATCCCACGCTGTCCCAGGGTTCTGCTGAACCAGAGGATAATTTCTCGTACTCAGGTTGATAATCATCAGATTCTTCGTCGGACAACTCTGCTTAAAAGTACACAGGCATTCACAAGTTTGATAGGAGAGAATAAACATCACAGGTAGAACAACTTAAACACATAAAACTTATTTAGTTAGCACGTCAACCTTCTTGATCGGGTAGTGAAGGTTCATTTATTCTATCACCAGATTTCAACAACATTCCAGGCCATATATGGGCAGAGAGCACCCTATAGAGTTTCTCGATACCCTGTAAATCCCCTTCTACAGAGAGACCTGTAACAAAATGATGCCACTTCATATTTAAAAAAAAAAAAAATGCATTTTAAGACAAATGGGATCCGGGTGAGATTAAAAATATTGAGATTTTCCTTAAGAGAACTATCTATAATTTTTCAGTGAGGAAGTAAGCTTGCAAAATATGTTGGTTTCATCGTATGCAACAAAAAAATAGAGTACCATACACTTGTCAAATTCAGCACTGGTTGCACAAGTTTCAACATATTCAACATTATGGTCGAGACACAATTCTAAGCAAGACCTAGTTAGTTCCAAATTTGGCTCTTCATCTCCCAATAAACTGCTTCCTTCAGTTTCAGATATCCCATACTCTGTAAGGCCCAGAAGAGGATCAATGGAGGATGCTCCTTGCCTCGCCAAGCGCCTCTTGTACTCCATATGAGCTGGATGATGGGGAACAAGATCCACCTTGTTACCGATGCATAGCAGTATGTCAAACTTGTGAATATCAGTGTGGGCCACCCACTCTTTGAGAGCAGTAAGAGACGAGAGCTGCACACGGCAGTATTGAATGAGATTCCAGTAAACAAATATGAAAGACGGTTTTTCAGTTTGAAGGCCGGGAATAAATCGGTTAAGGCTTACATCGGTAAGGTCAAAAACCATCACCAAAGCAACTGGTCGGTCAACGATTGGAGAGCTTAAGATAGTTGACTCATCACTAAGATGGGCCATCCATACCGAAACATCCGCTGTATAGTACTTGGTGTTGATTGTCCATCTTATGAAGCAGTAGCACCCATATACGGATTGTTGCTCAAACAGTTATGATCTATGAATGGGCTGAAAGCACATTATTATCAGGCAATCAGTGTTTGCCTCTAAGAAGGTACTACTTACCCCAGGACAAGCGACTCAGGTGATGGATCAGGAGCATCCTCAATATCCATACTTAGTAATCCTGCACCCAACATAAGAATAAGGAAGTTGGCCATTACAATTTAAACCTCGGACGTAAATTTAGTTCATGTTATCATACGGCATGCCCACCAGAAAATATCTCCAACAAGCAATACACTCGGTGCGAAAGACAAAAAATGAATCATCGGATCATCCCCAACAAGCAGCAGAAATGTAAGTACTTGTCAAGAAACCAATTTTCCGTCAAACTAAAACCAATGGGCTCTGTGGGTATACGATCTAATGATTAGTAGAAAATGTTTTCACAGCTTCTGATAAGTTGTATACTATCCTCATCCATGGTCACTAATTTTCCTACATCAATGAGCTCAACATATTTCATCAAATTTTTACAATAATTCTCTAGTAAACATAATCCCAATCCCTCTGTAACCTCGGAGCATGATTTGCAATGGTCGAGTAAATTTTCAGAAATAAAGGATGTTGATGCGAGAAAGAAAGGCTTACGTGAAATTAGAGTTCGTTTGCCAACGTTGGGCAATCCAACAACGAAGATGGCGGGTCTTTTCTCCAGCAACTGTCGATCCATTTTTGGCAGCTCCAATGGGCAATGGCGTTTTTCCTGGTCTTGGGATGAATGAAAGAAAGTGGTTTTAGAGAGCTCGAGAATGACTAGAGAATTTGTTGACAGAAGCCCACAGCTCAGCTCGATATTAAGCACGACTTTTATTTAGACTGGTAATGTGGTGGCGAATGATTTTTGCCGAATTTAATAAAATAAATTAATTAATTTATTAAACATATCATTAAAATATAGAACAAATGAGCTTTTAATAGTTTTTTTTAATTAACATAATTGTAACGCCCCACTTTTATTTGCCGAAAATCAGAATAAATTTTTCAAAATTTATTTCAAACATATTTAAGGCGTTACTCATTTATTTTTCAAACGACAATATGTCAATTCATAACATAAATCAAACTCTCAAACCCAGATCAATAAATCCATAAATTAACATTTTACCCAAACGGGTTCCCAAAATAAAACTTCAAGTGTTAAGACATGACAATGTCAACAGGGCATCTTCCCAACAGTATCTTAATACTTCATAAATTCTCAAGTTCAAAAATGCGTAAATCGTAAATAGTCATAAAGATAGCGGAAGCAAAATCATTTAATGACCAGTCTCATAGACCGACTGCCACTCGCTCTACTCCGTCGTCGTACCCGCCTTGCTTAACCTGAAACGTGAGTTTCAGGTGGGGATGAGCACAGTTGGAAAAAGTAGTGCTCACCACTATGCAATAAACATTTTCACAACATATCAGAAATTATGATCACATTATGTATAAGAATCAATCAGGTATTCCCAAAACTTTCATCATAAATTCACAGTGTTCATACTCATGTGCACATCTATACCAATAGACTACTGCCGGTAGACGCATCGAATGCCCCACGGGCTTCTATCGAACGCCCCATGGGCTTTACGTCTCTGCCCTCCGGTCTTACACATCGAATGCCCCATGGGCTTCTATCGATGCCCAGTCAGTAGGAGTAACCCCTCGGGTTTTCATTTCATAAATACGGGACAACCGTTCGACGGCCGGTACAGCTCACATCGAAGGCTTTATGATTCGTAATCATACATTGATCATCAGAAGTAAGGTAAATAATTTATTGCATAGACGATTTTTAAATAAAACCCACCTGGATATCGGAATGGGAAAACACGACAAGTAGTGGGACGTAGGTCGAGGACTCGACTCCTCAAACACCTACATTTAAGCGAGATAATAATCAAAATTTTATCTCACTACTCGAAATTAACATATAAGTCACGCTTAATCAAAATAATGAATAAGGGATTTTTATCGGATTTTATCGTGGACTTGGAACTCTCACATTTTTGAAAAATTAGACTCGGAGGACTAAATTAGAGTCTCGGGACTTAGAATAATTTTACCAAATTTTTCTCATTTTGAAAATATTTTTAAAATTGAAGTCGGTATTGAAAACGGGCTTCCGGCATTCAAAAAGGGCTTAAAAAGAACAAACTGGGCCGCTGGGAACATAAAACACAAGGCTGCCCTACATCTTGGCCTCACGCATTCGAACTGGGCCGAAAATGAACAAGAAGTGGGCCCAACAAAATCAGGCCTGCTAGGACTGGACCGCGGGCTGGAAGCGGGCTCGCGGGCCGAAGCGCGGGCTAGATGCTGCTGTCTGGTAGGCGGGCCGTGCACGGACTGGAGCGGGTCGAACGGCCCGCGCGCCTAAGGGGTCACCTGGGCTGGCGAAAAAAATGTAAATTGGGCGCTGGGGAGAAGAATCGAACTCAGGACCTTGCAAACGAAAGTGGGCGTCTAAAACCACTGGACCACCCGACTGGTTGTAATTTAAAAAAGACTTATGACAGTAAATTTAAACCAACAGGCCTGCGACTGACCAATAAAATTTCCTGGAAACAGCTGAACAGAAGCTGGAATTCAGCAACCAAAAGCAAATCGACGACGATGCTCGAGCAGGTTCAGGTTCGGGGAATTTATAAAATAAGTGAATTTCTGAGTTTCAAAAACTTTTTATAAAATCGGGTTTTGGATCCAACAACGAAACGACGAAAATAATACAAAATAAACGACGGGCTCGCAAGACCCAAACAACAAGACGACGGCTCGAAACATTTAAACGGGACTACGAAATCAAACGAATTAATCACAGCTATAACAGGACCCGATTAATACAATAAACGAGAGTTCTAAAATGTCCACGACGATCCACGACACAAAATCCGACGAACAAGACAACCATACGAGTCGAATAACGAATCAAACAATCAACAAGAAATCGATTTAAATAGCACGAATATAATCGAACGAATAGAAACGAGCACGAATATATCGAGAAGGTCCGTTGATTACCTCTTTTCGGGACAATTTACGAGTTCGGAAAAAGGCACGAGTGAACGGAAAAAAAATCGATTGGTCAGACGGAACTTGAAACGCCTCAAAAGCTCGAAACTCCTCGAATATGCTGCTGCCCGCGACTGGAAGAATGCCAACTATGAAAAACGGACAGCCGGCTGCTTACAAACGGGACGCCGGAAAGAATGGCTTCTCCTGCCAAAGATGGGGCGGCTGCTGTAGGCTCTCACGATCGGTCTGCTCGGCGAGAAGGATGGCGGACGTGAAATTTTGATGTGAAAGGAGTCTCTATCTCGGTCGAGATGTAAAAGGCGAACGTGAGAGATTCTCACCTGAAAAATCGCGACAGATTTTTGAACTGCTGGGGATGACTCAGTCTTGCAACGAGTAAGAAGGAAAGACAACTCACGTGTTACAAATAAAAGCTTGGGCCAATAAAAAGAAAATGGATTTGGGCCAAGACATAATTTCAACTAATAGCCAAAAATTGATTAGTCCAAATGGGCTGGAAAAATATCATATGAATAGGGTGGAGAAATCAATTGGGCCGAATATCAACACATTTGGGCTGGAAGGTTGAAATCTCTTTGGCTAGAATTATTCCCAATAAGGGTCGGATTATCGGGCTCGCGGGTTCTGTTCAATGAAACGTATCGGCTCTCGGGCCCGACTACGTAGAATTAATTACATATTTCTCGGGCTCGATAAATTAAATCGCACAATTAAACAAACCAACCAAACATATATAATATATATATTGATAATGCACAATTTAGATTTTTAAGAAAATAATGATAATTTTAGTAAAAATACAATTACACATTTTTAATTAAATACTAACATTTAGGCAATTTGGCAATTAAATCACATTCGACAATTAATAATTTAGCATTCAATAAATAATAATAATAACAATTAATAAGGATAAATAATAATAATAATAATAATAATAATAATAATAATAATAATAAATTATTATAATTCCCAAATATTTCATAATCAAACGGGGCATTATTGCCCATTATCACTCCTCACTGTCTTGACATTCCTGTCAAATTGTGTCTTCACCATTGTTGATATCAAGGTAAGAATACCTCGATGTTACAATGCAATTAAAGAAATCGCGAAGATTAATGCAAGAACTAAATTCGGGACGACGTCAAGCAGTACGTTCTACATCTCGGTAACCTCACCTCGGTACCCATTAATGATCGCGGATATTTGGAGGTCATCGACACAAGTCGGGAGAAACCTCGAAGAAGGCCAATTCGGTCAAAGAATTACTTATTAAGAAGTCGTAAAACGTCGGAAATCAATCAAGATACCGACATCGCAAGACAAGCCGACTTCGATCCGACAGATGTGACACTCGTCACACAAACAGAGGCGCGCCCATGCTAATCATTGCCTTGAAATCATCACATTACATCAAAGTAAGTACTGTAAAGTAATTGCACATATGTTCGAGCAAATACACAATGAGATTGCAAATATTCCTATAAAAAAAGACAAATGCATTCAAACATTCAAGAATGTTTTGATCAGGTTTCGACATTTTTGTTCCAATGTTACTTATTTGGAAGACAAACGAACTATATAATCTCTAGAGAATTTTACCCCGTGGACGACCTTTATTTCTTTGATAGACATAATGACGAGAATAAGTTTGTAATGCCTTATTGATGCCAACAGTTCCACGAAGTTTATTGATACTAAATAAATTAACAATTTTATATTCTACAAACCATTTTATATTTTACAAATTAAACCCTCTTTTTTTTCCTTATCTCTTCATCATTACCTTTTCTTCTTCCTTTCCGATTTCTTGGCATCACACAAAGATACACAGACACCAAAAAAAAAAAATTTAGACCGAATTCTTCTTTTAATTTCTGATTCGCGAACAACAAACCTCGCCTCATGCAATCAATTGATGAATTAAGGCGGCGGCGACTTGGATTTGAGATCGACAACCGGCGGCATAACAGGATGACGGAGGGTTTCATCATCCAACTCTAAATAATGAGGCGGCGATTGGAGCCGCGAACTACACCCAATGACGATTGAAGATCCAACCCATAGTGTTGTTTGATTTTGCTTATGGACTATAAGTAGTTTACTGTATGCATATTTTTATAATGGTAATTTTTTTTTTAATAATGTGATGACAAAATCTTGGGTGAATTTCTAGTTTTTTCTTGGTTCTATTAAAGATTATCTCTCCCACTGCACACTAACTGGTGTATGAAATGAAGATTTGAATGAATTTATTAGTAGTTTATCAGTATTTTATCAGTAGCTTATCGGTAGTTTATCAGTAGTTTATCAATAGCTTATCAGTAGTTTATTTTCCCACACTTTCAATCTCATCATCCTCAACCAAAACCCCATTCCCAAACCCATCCCCATTCTCGATAACACTTCGATTTCTGGTCGAATTCTGAGGTACAAGCCTCAAATCCGGAGAGGGAGGCCGGTCGATCTAAGGCGGGGTGGCGGATTCGGCGGAGGTAGACGGCTGCGACGATCGGGGTGGTGACGCACGCCTCATACGCTTTTAACTGCTACTGGCACAAGAATAAGGAGACCGAGAGCGGGGAAAAATTAGGATTGACGCGTTGATCATGGAAATTGCACGTCACAGAAAATCAGGATTGTAGCGGC